TCTCGTGGCCGCTGAGCTTCTGGAGGTACATGATCTCGCGGAACGTCCGCTGCGCGTCGGTCGAATTGCGGAACGCGTCGAAGCACTTCTTCAGAGCGATGACGTTGTGGCTCCGCTTCTCCACGGCCTTCCAGACGATGCCGTAGGCGCCTACAGCGGGTCACGCGTGCGCGCGCGCGCCCGCGCCGCCGCGCGCTATGGGCGGGTCCGTTGCAAGGCGGGGGCTGCCCCGGCGCACCTTTGCCCAGGCGCTGGCAGATCTCGAAGCGCCGCTTCACGTGCTTCTCGATGTCCTCGTCGCCGCCGTCCTCCTCGCCCATGGCGCGGAACCCGGGAGGGCGACGCGCTGCGCGACGCTGCCGGGGGCTGGGCACAAACTCGCACAGCGGCAACGCCCGTCGATTGCGGGCTGCCCGCTCATCTCGCAGGGAAACGTTCGGGGGTTTTAGATCTCGCTGCCCGACTCGGACGCGCGGTCCGACGCGTCCCCCGGCGGGACGTAGGCGTCGTCGCGGACGAGGATGGCCTCGAAGGACGTCGGGTGGTGCTCCATGACCCAGCCCACGGCCGCGTCGCCGTCGCCGCCGGCCTCCGGCGCGAGGCGGAGGAACGCGCGGCCGAGCGGCTCCGCCTTCGGGTCCGCGACGCGGCGCCGCTCGAGGACGCGGACGCGGCCGCCGGGCATGAGCGCGCGGCCCGTGCGCGTCGCGGCGACGTCCGGCGCGCTGCGCACGTAGATGCCCACGGAGTCCGCGACCTTGAAGTACGCGTCGAGCGCTTCGGAAGAGATCGTCGCGGCGACGTCGCGCGCCTTGAGTGCCAGCGCCGCCGAGTCCAGCGCCGCCAGGGCGATGTGCTCCGTCAGCGCGATGCACCACTGCTCCATCTCCCGGTCCTCCTTGGCGTCGAGCCAGAGCAGCGCGTCCTGGCCCGCGCCGCCGATGACGGAGAACGACCGCGCCTCGTGGCGGAACTTGACGGTCATGCCCGCCTTGAGCCGCAGCACGCCCGCGGGCTTGCCCGGGCTCAGCAGCGTCGCCGCCGTGCCCCGCTTGCCGTGGCTGTGCACGTCGGCCTCGTCGTACCACGTCAGCGTGCCCGTCGAGAGCGCGAACCACTTGCGGCCCGTCTGCTTGCCGAAGCGCCAGCCCCCGGACCGCGGCGCGCTGATGCGCCGCGCGTCCAGGAACCCGCTCTTGCGCCGCGGCACGGACGCGACGAGCCGCTTCAACGACGCGACGTCCCTGGGTTCGTGCGCCGCGAGGACGCCGACCTCGTCGCGCGCGGCCGCCGCGCAGCCCGCGAAGTCCATGGGGCCCGCGTCGACGTCGCGCCGCGCGCGCTCCAGGGCCTCCAGCGCCGCGACGTGGAGCTCGAAGAAGCCCTCGTGCGACGACCCCAACAAGTGCGACACCCGTAGCGACGAGTGCCGCAGCGCCGCGCGCCGCGCGGACTCGGACACGCCGTCGTCGCCGAGCGCGAAGGGATCCACCGCCACGTCGTCGTCCGTGCCCTCCTCGACGACGCCCGCGAGCCGCGCGGCCACCAGGGTCATGTTGATCGACGCCGCCGCGAACGGGAACGGCCCCCGGAGCGACGCCTCGCAGGCCTCGGGCCGGTGCTCCAGCGCGTAGATCAGGCAGTGCAGCCCGAGCATGCCCGCGCCCCGGAACTCGCGGTCCGGCGCCGCCGCCTGGAAGCCGATGGCCTCCCACCCCGCGCGCGACGCCTCGCACCGGTGGTCGCGCCTCGGCGTGCCCACCTCCGGCGCCGGCGCGTCGGCCTCGACGAGAGCCATGGCGTTCTCGTAGACGCGCGACAGCAGGCCCTCGTACTCGTCGTCGCCGACGCGCACGGGCGTCCGCAGCAGGCTCCGCAGCACCTCGAGGCGGGCCCGCGCGGCGTCGGACATGGCGTCGTCGGTGTTTTTATGGCCGTTCAGGCTCAACGCGTCCATTATGTTTGCTGGGAGCGTGTGTGTGCGCAGTGTCTGCCCGACTCCGCACACCTACAGACCACCACAAAGAGAGGGCGAGTTGTGGCAATTTTGGCTGATCGAGGTTTCGAGGCAGACTTCATCGAAACAACCAGAGAGGCGCATCATCATCAAAATATGGGCTCGGCGTAGGCCGCCGTCCGCCCTCGACGCGCCGAGACCGCCGCACGCACCCCGGCGCGCCTCGGGCGCGCGCCCCGCGTTTTTCTCAGCGCGAAAACACGCGAAACAACCGACGAACCCGCCGCCGAAACGCTAGACCATGGCCGACATCAGCGACCGCCTCGAGGTCAAGGTCGTGTCGGCCCGGTCGCTCAGCGAGGTCGAGGGCGGCGAGTGCAACCCCTTCGCCGTCGCGCGCTGCGGCTCCGAGTTCGGCCAGACGCTGGTCGCGAACCGGACGACGGACCCCGAGTGGCAGTCGTCGACGATGATCTTCGTCGACATCGCGGAGAACGACGTGGACCACATCGTGCTCAACGTCATGCACAAGAACCTGAGCGCCCAGGCCGACGTGGACCTCGGCGCCGCCATCGTCGACCTGCGGACCGCGATCCTCTCGCCGGGCATCGAGACCGACGAGTGGTACGCGCTCCAGCGGGCGCCGGGCATGGACCAGCCCGCGACGGGCCGCGT